AAACTCAATATTGCACAAAAGATGGGATGTAAAACTTCCTGTGAGAACTTTCATTCTTCCCCTTATGCATACGCATTAAGGTAAAGTCCTTAATTACATGATCACACACACAGTTTTCCAGCTGGCACCCATGTCTTCCAGTGCACGCAACGGATTCACACTGACAGTGAATTGGGGCTGTACATGAAACACTTGGACCACTATTTTCAGGACTCTGGCCACGCTTGCCACAGAAACAGTAGGGTGAAAGAAAGGCTGGGAAGAGATGAAAAAGAAAGCCTGGGCTGGAAATGAAGGTCTTCTGTCTTGTGGTTAAGACTATTGCAATGTTGCCCCAGAATCTGGATTCTGGCCTTCCTCAGCATCCCAGGAGGATTCTGTGACAAGGAAGCTAGTTTAACAAAATCTTTCAGAGATTGTTGCTAATCTTGTGCTTTCTCTGCCTCCAGGGGTCAAACCTGACTACTTTATAAGTGCTGTAACGCTTCCAACTGCCTCTGAGGTCAGTGAGCATATTGCCTTGAACTTAAATGTGTAAAATGCCAAATACTCCAAACAAAGTCTTAAAACACATACCCAATATACACCAATATTCTTGCTTTTAATCTGTTCTGATAAGGCTGAGTTTATTCATCTCCCTCATCTCAGAGATATTGTCAAGAATAAATTCACTGATATTAGGGCAGTCACTGGTGTAAGCTGCCAAGGAAATCAACAGTGCTTCCAGAGCAGGGTTTGAATGCAATGCAAATACAGCGTAAACAAGGTGTTGAAGGAACTCTCTGTGTAGTAGTAAGATATTTGTAATGAGAGGTGAGGTACAAAAGGCTTTTGCTATATTCTTTTTGCAGGCTGGACGCTTCTTCCCTATGCCTTCCCAAACACTGTTGTTTTAATTGTAGGTAACAACAGACAGAACGTTGCAAAAACAAGTCAGATTAAGAAAAACTTCATCACAATCCACTGGCTCCTATTGAAACACTTCCAATTATGATTTCTGTTTTAATGACTGCATCTTCTACGACTAAGACTTTCAGAGCTAAAATTCATAACCAGACCTCCTTGAGAATCACTGAAAGATGAAGAAAATCCTCGTGATTCCAGGATGCAAATCCTCCTTGTGCACATTACAACGAGCCCCAAATAAAAAACGATTTATAGGGCTTGCAGTGGTATGGAATAGGGGACAGGGAATGAGCCAACGAGGCCGGCTGTCATAACCCATCTATGGCTTAATCTCTGTGTAAATCTCTTTACAAGAAGTCAAAAGTGAGGACACCACATTTATTGGCTTACAAAATGTACAAGTAAGTCACCCTGCCGACACACCTACTATTTGCAGGCTGGAAACAGCCACTCTGACCACTCTTACCTTCTGACAGACTCAAGTTAGGCTGTTGCTGTCGATCTGGGCAGATCAGCCTGATGAGCTACAGCAGCCCAAGTCCAGAGCCCAAGGACTGAGCTGCTCACAACATGGGTAAGTACCGGCTGTCTGGGCAGCACACTCTCTTCTAACAAGCACTGCCTCTCTCTTGACAGAAGAGCAGCGGGAAGGGCACCAGTGGGATGTCAGGGCGGGCTGAAACCCCTGGGGGGCTGCCACATCGACTATAATGACCCACATCTACTACCGTTCTTCCCCCTGGCTTTCTGCAGTATCAATGCTGTCTGCTGTCTCTCCACATGGTGCAATTAGGAAGAAAGATCACCCTGCTGTATACTAATTGTCAACACCACTTAGACAGAAGAGCAGCGGGAAGGGCACCAGTGGGATGTCAGGGCTGACATCCCCTGTGGGCTGCCACATCGACTATAATGACCCACATCTACTCCTCTCTACCGTTCTTCCCCCTGGCTTTCTGCAGTATCAATGCTGTCCTGCTACTCTCCACATGGTGCAATTAGGAAGAAAGATCACCCTGCTGTATACTAATTGTCAACACCACTTATTTTTCGATCTTAGATTGGCAGGGGACAGGAACTTTTCCTTCTTTAAGTTTTTATGCATCCAGTACATAGACACATATAATGCTACTGTCAGAGCAAGACAACTCTGCTGCCATAACTGACAGAATAAACTTTATGTATTCACGCCACCTGCTCCAGGAAGCTGCAGGAATAAGCGGTTGGCCAGAAACAGAAGAAAGGCAGAAGTACCGGTCTAAATTAATCCCAAATAATTTTTATAGTACAGTTTGTATTAGAGGGATAATTTGCAGTGGGCCATTGTGTTAAGTGTAATAGGTAAAGCATGGAGACATTCCTGCACAGAAAGTCTCAGTTTCATTCTGTTCATAGTTCAGTCAAGGCCAGCAAGTTTCCTAGAAAAATACATCACTGTCCCATCCTGCAACCTCAGTGTCTGTTCTGACTTTTGCAGACATCTAAAGCCTTGTCTTTGCCTTCGTTTGATTAATAAAGCCATCACATCAATTACTGAAGTTTACCAAAGAAAGAAAGACAATGTAGAACAGTATTGAATCTGCCCTTGATCAGTCCAGACCACAAGTTCTCTACCAAGGAAAAAGCCCATCACATCTTCCTTCAGCTTGCTCACACATTGACTATTTACTAGTAAGATTGAAGACGACTCATCCCACCACCAGTACAAACCTGGTAAAATACAAGGCATCTCCTCAAGCAGTAGCCAAAAGCCGTAGTCTGAGAGTTGAAAATTTTGGTGACAGGTTTTTGCTATGGTTATTACCTTATTTTTTTTGCTTTGGAACAAAGTGACTTCTTTAAAACTTAGCCAGCCAGCAGGGCAAACATTTGCCCAAAAGGAGAGTCATTTGTCCAACAGATTTAATTTTAAAGTATGTTTCATCAATACAATAATACACTAAGAAAATTCACTAGTACCCGGGCATTTAAGGCTAGGTGTTTCATCTACTTCCCTTCCCAAACAGAACAAGCAAGTGCACACATCACCTCAAAAAATTTTAAAAATTAATTAAAAAAAAAAAAAAAAATCCAAGAAACTGGAAAATACAGAATATAGCTTAAATATGACTTAAACTTTTATCCTGACAGCTTCCAATGTGACCCACACAGACACTATACCTTTAGTGCTAAGAACCATCCAAATATAGCATAAGTGGTAGTAAATTCTTAGGGTTTGGTTTGGTTTGTCACTCCTCCCAGCGGGTGCGTTCTCTAAACAATTGACATTCAAGAATAGGTAACATTGAAGCATTGGTAGGACAGCTCCAGAGAATGACATACAATTATGTAAAGCTTTGAACAAAGGCATTCACAGAGGTCTCCAGAAATGGATTTTCATATGACTAGCCATCACAGTACATGTTACGATAAATGCTGCAGGCACAGAGTTCTCCTTAGTTACTTTGGTTCCTTGCAGTAACTCTACTTCCCCACTCTTAAATGTACTAAAATACATCCTGAACTGAAAAGAAAAGTAAAAAAAGGGGGGGGGGACGACACGACACACCATGTTAGCTTTTCAGTTATTTTTACGCATCTCTATCTGCACACTCCAAAGTGACTGAAAGGGAGCTTTCTGAGTGTATCACGTCAAAGTGACATGACTCCAAGTCCGGGCATTTTTCATAAATTTGATATTCTTCCTTGCAGAATTCAGCACCTTTCACTTGACAGGACACCCAAGGAAGTATTTTATGACTTCACTGAAATACTTCTTTCACCTACCAGTTGAACTATTCCCCCCCCCCCCCCCTTGCACTAAATGTACATTCTTCATCTGTTAAACACTGCACTGAGGTAGCTTTAGAAAAACTAAAACTGGATGGAGGTCTAGTAGTCACTCGCATTTGCAAACACAGTGCTGTGTTTTTATTTTTAAAACCTGTTTCTAATCTTAAAAAAATAGTTCCTTTTAGGCTAAGATAACGTTCTTCTGGATGCTTTTGACTGAAGTGACATGATGAAGTCTTCCCAAGAACAGTTTTGGAGGCACTGAGGTAGCTTTAGAAAAACTAAAACTGGATGGAGGTCTAGTAGTCACTCGCATTTGCAAACACAGTGCTGTGTTTTTATTTTTAAAACCTGTTTCTAATCTTAAAAAAATAGTTCCTTTTAGGCTAAGATAACGTTCTTCTGGATGCTTTTGACTGAAGTGACATGATGAAGTCTTCCCAAGAACAGTTTTGGAGTACTTCCATGTTGCAAGTCCCCAGTGAGCTTAAATTAGCTCATTAGCTCCAGACAACAGGACAGACAGGACAGCAAAGCCCTCAGCACAGGCTGCAACGGATGGCAAGACCCAGTGTGAATATTGGGGCAATTTGTTCACAGAGCTCAGTGCTCCTTAGTCAGTACTTCTAGCTGAGCTTGAATTAGCTAGCTACTTCAGCCAAATAAATTCATACAAGTTGTCACCAAAGCAGTTCAAAAAAATCTATGTCCATTGAAAACTCTGCCACTGAAATATCATTCTGGAGGAAATTTTGAAATTTAAAAATTTTAGGTAAACTGTTTTGATCTTACTGACTTTAGAAATGAAAGAAATATAAACCAGGATTGTGGACAACACTTAATGCTGAATTAGTAACGAAAGGTCACTCTTCCTACTGAAGAAGATTTGTGAAATACACAGAGAAACAAAAACAACAAGGAGATTTTAAAGTGCATTTGTAATAATCTCCTCAATTTGGGTTCTTTATATGATTGACCTGTTCCAAATGTTAGATTGTTATGCTTAATTATCCAGGGATTTAAATACTTTACTGAACCATAATTCAGAACTAAAAAACTCTGCAGCTGCTTTCTGAGAAATCCTAATCTGAACTTATTTAAGGAATGACCTTCCTTCAGGATAGTTATTTCTCCAGTTCCCATACAAACTATCAAAACATTTTGAGGAAAGTTTTACTCCTATAAACTATTTCAAAGTTTCCTCAAAATGCGTTAGATCACACCTTATATAATAGCAGTTCTCTGCTGGCAGGAGGAGAAAGAACCAACCAACCAGTTATAGTACCTTCATTAAAAAGTTCCCTTGATTTTATAAACAGTACCTTGGATGTAAGGTCTCGGTGGAAAATGCCTTTATAGTGCAGATAACTGATTCCCATAGCAATGTCATATGCCAGTTTCACCCTTACTGTCCAGGGCAGATGCTGGTTACTGTCTAATAGCTGTTCCAGGTTACCACAGTTGATGTACTGAAAAGACAAAGCAACATTTGTAATTAATTATTTAACTTCATATATTGTCAGAAATGTAAAATTCATCATTACACAAAAGTGTCCTCAGCTCAGCTACACATTAAAAACTTTTTTTTTCCCTTAAGGGCTAGGCCAGCACAAAGTTTGCAGATCAAGAGAGGCTGAAAACGTCTCCCTTCACCACCTGCACCAATGCATTTACGTTAAAGATGCATGCAACAGCCACCACTGCATTAACTCTATGGTATTTAAATACTGGTATTTAAATAGACCGTTCAGAAACACCTACAATATAATATCACCCTCTCATTTCAGTGTGAGGAAAGTAAGGGCAAAGAGGATGAAGAGCTGGCTCTCATACAGAGTAAGTCAACAAAGAGAGGGCTAAGTATCCAAGTGTAGGTCACAGAGCCTGATCAAGTTGCCAGATATCAATTCCCTAAACTGAAGCAGCATCAAAGAAAAATATTACAACATGTTGCTGTAAGTTACATTTTTTCACTGCTGTATCTACAAGTCCTAATCAACAATCTGATTCCCACTATGTTCAGTACTACATCAACGCATCAAATAGTAGCCCTCATGAAAAGGAACCTACATTAAGTATAAGATAAATACTAAAAGAGACTGGGAAATAAAGCAGCACCCAAATGAGGCTAAGTAATATAACCCAGGGTTAAGACATGGCAGCTCCACTGCTCATATAATCATTACAGCAACACTGGGCTTATGCTTTATGTATAGACCCTTTATACCACAACAGCAGCTACGCCATGTTTGAGTAGCTTGTTTCACTCCCAGCCCCAGTCCCCTCACCAGCGACAAAGCAAAAAGACTAGCTCACTCCGGAAGGAAAACCTGGCAGCAATGCAGTGACTTCTCTCAAGAAAATCCAAGCAAAGCACACAGGATAATTTGCTCCCAAGCCTGATCCAAGCATGTAACACTGCGGCAAGCTGCACCAACTTTGCTCCTCTGTGCCAGACAGCTCTCCAACTCTCTCTCAAGAGGCTTTGCATCTTCCTGTGTCATTCACCCGGATAAAACGTGCCACCATTAGCACGTTAAAATAAAAATCGTAATTGCAGCTCTTGTTACTTCAGAAACTTTGAACTTGCTTGTATTTTGTTGGGCTTCTTTGTGTCTTGGAGCCTGGGGCAGAAGGCAAATGTGAACCACACACCACGCGGTGTGGATCTTCTCGGACTATGCTACAGCAAGGAAAGGGCACACATAGGCCAGACTCCACTAGTGAGTCCGGGGGTCAATGGCTCATCTCCTGAACAGTCTACAAAAAACAGCTTCTATCCTTACAGTTAGGCCCTGTCTTCTTCTGAGCTCACCAGTTAATTTTGAAAACCTTTTTCAGCAGATACGCAAGTTTCACAAGTAACTATTTAACGAGGCTAAATTGTTCGGGCATTATGAGGCACAAACCAATTTTAACTGTCACAAAGCTTACTGGGAGGGGGCACCACAAAGCAGCGTGGGGCTCCACTGCTCCCCTCGGCTACACCGCACATCCCCCGGGGAACTGGGTTCATCCCAGCCCATGCACAGCAGCACATTTCACTGGCAGTCCAGGATGTGACCCCTCTCTCTCCCACCTCTCTCTCACGCAGAAGTGCTGTCGACTGCTCGACAAGCCGGTTAGTACACATGCCGCACATGGACACAGCGGGCACTAAACATTCTCACCGTCAGCATTTGCTTTTCTCCTTTTAAATATGAACCTTTGGCCTGATCACAGTGCTGTGCATCCACCTTTTGTCCTTGAGCAACAATCAAGGCAAAGGGCGAGTACAAGAGTTACGTCTGTACTCAAATGTTCTTCAAAGATGATTAATTAGCTTCAATCTCGGCCAGATTTTAGATATCAACTACCTTCCCATATCAAAGGAGGCAACCCCACAAAAGGCGCCTGCATCTAGGAAACATTCCAATATTTAGCAATTCCATGTTCTTATGACTACTTCAAGATGCTGTTTCATATCTTTTGCATTAGACTAACAGCAGGAGAAAGAGTGCAATGATATACAGGAAAGTATTTAAAAATAAGTTACAGAGAAACAGAATGCTTCCTTGTACTATTTCTAGACCAAACAGGCAAAAAGTATTTGTATTTTACAATTAGGCAAGAAAAGCTCTTGAACTCTAGAGAGCAATCTGACTAACATTTTAAAATGCACTGTCCTGTTCTTAAGTAGCATAATTTTCTATCAAACTGTTCTCTTTTGTGCTGAAGTCAAGATAATTTAATTACTCAGAAATTTGTGCTTAGTGCATATCATTTTGCAAAATAAAATGCCTGCTGGCCCCTCTCCAAAATCAAGGCAAACAAGACTTAACACACCAATGATAAAAATCGAATGTTTAGGACTGCTATAGCCCAGGCACTGCAGCTGGGGGGGAAGGGAGTTGATCAGATGACTACACTGGAAACTAGAAATTGCAGGCTGGTGCAAGCCAGAGATCCAAAACAACCTGGCTCTTATACTGGGAGTTCGTGTGTCAGGAGAGCGGAGCAGCCCTGGAACAGGTCACTCGGAAGCTATGCAATCTCCATCCTTGGAGATTTTCAAGACCAACTAGACAGAGCTGCAGCCAACCTGACTCAATGTTAGAAACAATGCTGCTTTGAGCTTTTCCAACTTTGATCTTTCTTTCTCATTGCTTTTATCTGAACCCCTAAGGGAGCTAGATGACCTTATAGAGCACTCAAGTTAAAAAAAAAAAAAAAATTGCTCAATATAATTAGATTTTTTTTTTTTTTTAAATCACAAGTTGCTAGCATGCTTAAGGAAAAAATGGTGAATAAGATTTCTACATTAATTTCTTATATATTCCCAGCCTCCTTGGAACAGTGTGAGCAGCACTTCTCATCCAGTTATGTTCAAATCAGAACAATATTGACCAACCTGAAACAGAAGGCACTAAAGCACCTAGCTCAATAACCCAATTATAAAGTGACACATCAATGATCTCAAACTATTTCACCTTTCTGACTGAGCAATAACAGACCATCCATATAGCACTACCATACTTGAATTCATTGGCAAGAGAATGCAAGGGGGAGGGGAATCACTGGCCTGGTTTTCTATTTTGGTTAAACTGTGCCATACCATGACAGTAATTGCTCCAGAAATGCTAATAAAAACAAGCAACCCAGAAGAGTATTGACATACATACTGAAATGTGACAGTAGCTAGCTACTATTTTGAGCATGCTCATGCTTTCCTTTTCAATAAAGTAGCCTACTGATTCAATCCATTGCTGCCATATTAGTTAAATGTATATGTATTCCCCCAGCACCCTTCCAGTCAAATTGGCTTGCAGGGTCATTCACCCATCTTAACTGCAAGGGCTGGATTCTAGCATGGGCGGGGTGAAAATTGACACACACACAGGACACAGCATGCATGAGCTGCAAGGGCAAGAATCAAACCTGACTCTAGCACATATACAAAACCTGCTAGGCCTCCTATCCAAAACTGCCACCTGGCAAGTGCTCAGACCTCATTTATTAGAGGTGGGCGTTCTGGTTTTGGCTCTAATTTCTAGTGTACTTCTATGAAGCACAGCAGGCTAATCATCAAGTGAAAAACTTAACTAAGATTTTCCTATAGACATCTTTAAGACTCTAGTTGATCTCAGATTTTAGCTGGCCAGCAGGTAATATTTGCATGCAGAGTCATGAATTGTCCGTAAGGCAAGCACCACACAGAGTTCAGTGCTCCCTCAGTGTCACGTAAGTAATCCAATTCTTCTGGTCATTCAGGCTGATAATGCAAACAGTCAGCTTGATGGCCTATTTTTTTCAGAGTCCTTCAACAATGCCTTTTTGGAATAGACACAAAATTATGTACATTATTTCCTAATTGCCAGTGCAACTGAAAGAAAAATACTTGTTCTCAATCTCTTACTAGCACAAACCAGCTCTGTGTGGTAAGAATATCCTAAAGGATGGTAAGTGCACCTCTCCCAAAGAGAATACTGGATTTTATTTTGTCCCTGAAACATTTCAGTGCTGGTACAGTAAGGCTACAGCACACACATCATCTCAAAGCATTATTCTACTACAACAACAACAGCCATTGCGTAAGTGTACAAGCAATCGGAGCAGAGATCTGATCGGGCTATGACAATGAAAGCAAAAGACACTACATTTCATAAAGAGACCTCACAGCTAAATGGAGCAGTGTTCAGACCTTTTCAAACTCTGTATCATCAGGTTGCACTGAAACAGCTACCCATTATTTCTCCTGCTAGCTTTTTGTCATGTAACAGAACACCAACAGTCAGTTTATCTGGTTGCCAGAGCCTGAAAGTAACTGCTTTAGGTTGTTTATTTTTGCATTTACTACAACTCAACACAGCAAACTGAACACTAATTTAAAAGACCCTGGCATTTTAGCCCACAAAAATACTCTTTCCTAAAAAATTCATCTGTGGTAAGAGCTCACGCTTTTGTTGTTAGAACGAAAGTTCAGCAAAACTGTATTTCTTACACCTCTCCCAAACCTTATGAGGAAAGAGGGCAGTAGCTTCTTTGAAGGACAAGTTACCCAGAAGCTCAGCCAAGCATAGGCGCTTTCTGGATCAAAGAGCCTTGAAGAGGCTTCTAATGTTACAGCTTAATGCTACGAAATGCAAAAGCAGCAGTATATAACCCTTTCCCACACAAAAGTCGGGCATAGGGAAACATGCTATTTTAACCCAAGAATAGGATAATAGGACTGCTTCCTTGCAAGACACTTGCAGTCACATTATCAGCCTCAAGCATATGAAATGAGGAATGGAATGAAATTCAGTATATAATGGTACTTACACATAGCATTACATGCTTCATTTCAAGAGACTAATACTGAACTTCAGCTGTCAGATTTTAGCCTTCAAAATTCAAAATAAAAGTTTGAACACACTAATATGAGAACTAGAAGGTTTTAAAGAAAAGGCTCATCAGATTCACGTGATTCCAGCAGTTATTGCTCAAAAAG